TTTTCTACTTTACTAATTGCTTTCTTAATTTTTCCTACGGCATGTTTTATATTCTTTCCCCTCATCCATATGGCCCCATCATCTGCACATAGTGCAGATTTTATACATTTATCATTATCAGAAAAGATATCATTAGTCATAATATTAAATAAAATTGGACTGATTGCACTACCTTGAGGAATTCCATTTTCTACATTAAATTCTTTCGAATAATCATTCCCAATCTTCACTCTAATTTTTCTATCCATCAGGAAATTTTTCTATCCAATTATACATCTTCCCACCTATTCCCATCTGCTTAATTTTTATAAGTAATCCTTCTCTCCATAATGAATCATATGCTTTTTCTATATCAAAAAATATTATAATCATTATTTCCTTAATTTTTAAAGCTTTCTCTGTCATTACTGATTCTAGTTAGTGCATCCATTGTTGATCGCCCTGTTCTAAAGCCACACTGATATCCATTAAGTAGTTTCCTATGCTCAAGAACATATCCTAATCTATTGACCATTATTTTCTCCATCCATTTACTGAAATGAGATGTTAAAGCTATTGGACTATAATTATTCGGACTGATAGGATCTTTTCCTGGTTTATTGAACGGCAGTATTGTTGCCCTTTTCCAGTTATTTGGTATTAAACCTTCTTTCCATATTTTATTAAACAATTTTAATATTAATTTCAATGTTACTTCTGGAATCTGTCAAAACATAGCATAGCATAATTGATCCTCCCCTGGAGCTGAATAACCTGTCCCTTTCAATACTGTTTTAAGTTCTTTCATGATTATTTCCATGTCTAATGTTGTCATATTTTTTACATTTTTCCAAAATATTTTTATGCTTTCCAAGTTTTTGAGTCTTCTGCTGTCTTTGAATGTCTGTAAGATGTTCACCACTATGAACTGCAGCAAATGACTCGCCTAATAAATCTGCCTTATCTTTATTTAACACCAATATCTCCTGACCTCTGATTAAGGTTGGTATTTTAACATCATTCCTTTTCCAAGTCATTTTCCTAAACATTGACCAAACGTTTTGTAATTTTATTTCTGAACCTATTGAAGAACAATATTCTCTCCATGTTTTCTTTTTTGTGTCCTTAATAGTTTTACGAGCTATTGCTCTTTTCCTTTTATATTCTATAAGATTTTCAGTTGTTAAATTTTTCTGTAATATTTTAAATACATTGTTACGTTCTTTAACTGCTGTAGTACATTCATCATTCCACCAAGGAACTACTTTTTTCTTACCTTTTATTTTTATTTTTGGTATGCTAGAATTTGCAGCATTTAAAATATGTTCTGTTATTTGACTTGTACATTCTTCAATGTTGCCTTTTAATGTTACCATGTGTCTGGTTTCCTCACAGTTTGTTTTAAATTTTTGCCAGTTAGCTTTATTAAAGCACCATTTTGTTAAAATAAAATCTTTTTGCCTGTTTATACTGTCATTAATTATTGTACTCACTGGAAAGTGATCGCTCCCTAATGTAGACTCCCATTTGACATCCCATTCACATGAACTAACAAGACAATTGGATATTAATGTAATATCAAGACATGAGGCTGTATTTTTATGTATATTTACTCTTGTACCTTTTCCATTATTAAGACATACTAATGATCTTTCATCCATTATTTCTTCAATTATGTTACCATTATGATCTGTCTTCTTGCTACCCCAAAGACTATTGTGGGCATTAAAATCACCACACCATAGTTCTCTTCTATGTGGTCTCCCTGCTATTTCTTTAAACATTTCACTATCAAGGTGTTTGCATGGATTATAATAATTTATTATTTTCATATTTTCATATTTTCTTAAATTAAATATTTCTATATTAACACATTCTAATTCTTTATTCATTGGGTTTTTCTTATATGCTATTCCATCTTTAATTAGAGTGACACATCCTCCTCCACTACCATAACTTCTATCCTGTCTTTCTATGCTATATTCAGGTATCTTAAAATCCAGCTGAGGTTTTAACCATGTTTCCTGAACACATATTATATCTGGGATTATTTCTAGTTCATAAACAAACTTTTTAAATTCTTGTCCATTGGCTATTAGACTTCTGGCATTCCATTGAAGAATATGTAAGACCATAATAAAAGCTTGGATCCTAATCTTGAGCATTTTCTGTTGTTTCTGTGGCGCTCAAAATGGTATGAATCTGATCTGCTTGGATTTCTTTCATGTCTAAAAATCTTCCTGCTGCTGTTACTATTGCTTTTATTTGATCACTTTTCTTTTTCATTTGTACTGTAACATTAACAATATGACACATAAAAGCTACAAAGTTTTCTTTTTTCACCACCATTGTATTTTCATCTATTTTACATTTATGCAAACATGCATTTTGCATATTTGTTGTTGGTACCAATGTTTGTCGCTGATCATTCTGCCCTTGATTTATGTTCCAAGTTGTATTTCTTTGACCTGTTTCTCCCAACCTCATTCCTCTTGTACTGTCTTTCCTTACTCTTTTTAGAGCTTCAGCATATGAAACTCTTTCTGTTATTTTGATCCTTTGAGCTTCTCTAGCTTCCCTTTGTATTTTACATCCACCATATGCTGCACTATGTTCTCCTCCACAATTGCAACATTTGATTTTAGCATCTTTATCACATTTTCCGTATTCATGTGGGCCTCCACATCTTGCACACCTAACTTTACCTTTACATTCTTTTGCAATGTGTCCCATTCTTTGGCAAATAAAACATCTGATGGGTCTAGGGATATACTCTCTAACTCTATAGTTCATGTATCCCAATTGGATATTTTCTGGCTTAATATTTTCAAATTGTAGAATCACTGTCATAGTGTCTTTAAGTTTCCCGTCTCTTTTACTTTTAATCCTTATGGCATCTGTTATTTTCCCTCCTTTGATTTATTTTTTCACATCCTCCATTGTCATTTCTAAAGGAACTCCTGATATTACTCCTCTTAGCCTTGCTAAAGATCCTGGAATATGTTTTAATTATTTCCCCCATCAGGGTTTTCATTTTGATTATTTTCTGTTGTTGTGACTCATTAACAGTATGAATTAGCACTCTTCTGTTGTTTATGATTCTAGCCGTTTTAATTTTCCCTATTTCTTCCTCTATTGCTTTGGTCATCTTTATTGGGTGTATAGATCCCCCTTCTTGCTTAAATTCCACTATTACTTTAAATTCCACTTCTGATTCATCCTGTTCTCTTGAGCTCACCCGTTCGTTTGGTTTTGTCTTTTTGCTAACTTCTGCTCTTGACTCACTTTCTTCCGACCAACTTCTTGTTCTTTCTTGTCTCTTCCTAAGTGTTCTTTTCATTTTTGCTGATCTTGATATCAACCATTCCATCTCGTTTCCACTATTTCCTCCTGATGTAGAAGCCATGTTGCTACAGTCAATGTACAGTTTATGCGGTCCACCAAAATCAAATCCTACCGCTTTCGTTTGTTTGGTATATTCATTCACTTCCTCCTTCCACCGTCTCTCCTCCAGCCTCCAACCTGGCAATCACCCTGTGTGAGAGTCTGACTTATAAAAGGTGCAGCTAATTGAAAGGTAATCAGAGCTGTAGGTGCTGCAGTGAAGACAAACCAGTTTGATCAGTGAAGACAACCTTAAACCACAAGCAGCCAAGACAACCTAAAACACACACATGCAGACAGAAGAGAAGAAAAGGATCCAAAGACACCAAGCAGTGCACAGGGTGATAGAAAATCTAATCTACCAGGCGTGAATCGTGACAGTCTGGCTATTAATGGGCCACTTGTCTTGACATATAGATGAAGACACTTCATCCTCACAGGACATGCCATCCACGTCTCTGTTGGGCAAGAGCGTGTGCACGAGCTGGTGCGCCTGCTGCAGCCGTAACATTTACTCCACAGACTAGGCAACGTCTCCTCTTGTTGTATTTTTAATAAATAATCAAAACAAAATTGCATAATGACTTTGGACTTTTAGGGGTGGAGATTTGATTTGCTGGATCCAAGTAAACAGTTGCCAGAACGCACCAGGTCAAAATGAGAGAGTTTCCGGGTCTTGTTCCAGCAGGAACCGGCTCAAATTAAGCACTACTTATAGCCAGACATTTTCCCAAATTTTTGAACCAAAGCAAGTAACTCAGGAATGCTAGTGGGAGGAGCTGATATTTACAAAAGCATGTCATCGGCATATAAAGAAAATTTATGTTCTGTGCCTAATCGATTCATCCCTTTAATGATGGAGTTTTGCCATAAAGCTACAGCTAGTGGTTCTATCGCTAACGCAAAAGCTGTGCAATAGTTTGTTGAGACATCAGGGACAATTTAAACAAACATTGTCCGACAAAAATGTAGATGTTTAATAACATATAACATACAGTAGAATTATTTTATCCTTATTTGTCCATCCATCCATCCATCCATCCAATATCTTTTACTTGCTTCTTCCATTTTGGGTCACGGGGGTTGCCAGTGCCCATGTCCAGCAATCACTGTGTGAGGGGCGGGGTACGCCCTGGACAGGTCACAAGTCCATCACAGGGCATCCCCGTTTGTTGTTTTCGATTTATAAACAATAGTTTTAAAAGCCTGAAAAAGAAAAAACCTGGCACGTTTGGGATTTCTGTCTATTTTTCTGGACTATGTGCCTTGTGACTGATGTCTCATCTGAGAAGGTACAACCTGTTGAGAATATTTAGACAGAAGAGGACTTAAATAAATAATGAGACAATTCCTTTAATGTTGAATGGTTGGGCAGTGTTTATTCTTCTCAGTTCTAGGCTGACCCTGCCATTGTGTTTTCCCCTGTATACAAGTGTATTGATGGTTTATGTGTGTGTATTTGTTGACTAGTATCTATTTATAATTAGCAATGTAACTGTTCCTGTTTTCCTGCTTTTCCTCCTTCACTTCTCTATCTTCGCTTTCTGTGTGTTTCTGTTCGTGGTCCAACCTCCCTCAACATGATTTGTTGGCTTTCGTCACTGATGTTGCCATGCTGTGGTCCAAAACATCTTTAGACAACAGTGAGTGACTTTCTGTTGCTGTTTTCAGCTTTCTACAGTACAATAGTTTGTTCACTGCAAAGAAATCCTCGGTTCTCCTGCATGTGTCCTCCACCTGGTTAGTATGACACTTCCTCGAGAAAGGCGAAGCATTCCTTGAAAATTGAATGTCGCCCTCTCCATTTCCTGCCATAGTTTTAGGCTTTAATCATCTTATGATGAGATGTGAAAGACTTACAGTTGTTTTATTTGACAGAGATAGAGCCATTTTTATTTTGGCTTTTTGGATGTGTCGACTCCAGAAATTAATCAGTTGTAGTTGAGTATCCAGGCATTAATCTGAGAGTTTCATTAAAATCTGTCCTAAGGCTGATGAGCTGGTGCTAACACGGACACAGGTTATGTTGATCTATTGCTTTTCAGTGGGTGAAGTTTCAAGAAGTGTATTGGATCATTTTAATATAATATTTGTTTGATGCAGAAAAGACTGATATCCTGTTTGTATGCAACAGGACAGGCTGCTAAATTTGAGCTTCCTGAGGCTTTTTCGAGCCGCTCGCCTCATCAAGCTGCTGAGACAGGGCTACACCATTCGCATCCTCTTGTGGACCTTCGTCCAGTCCTTTAAGGTGCTGTCAGACAACACACATTGCATGTGAACAATCATTCACACCATTTATACAAAGTCAAACCCACCGACTGCAATAATTCAGTGGCATGATTGATTCATTGTATTGTTGGTTTCTTGTTGTTCCGTTCAGGCTCTGCCATATGTTTGTCTACTGATTGCCATGCTGTTCTTTATATATGCCATCATTGGGATGCAGGTGAGTAAGGCTGCTTTGCTGTGATTACAGTCATATAACTGGGCTAATTCATACTACAATTGTATGGATACATTACAGCTTCATGCTGTTTCTGCTGTAGGTGTTTGGTAACATTGAGCTGATTGAAGACACGGCTATCAACCACCACAACAACTTCCGTACCTTCCTCCAGGCTCTCATGCTGCTGTTCAGGTACTCATGGCTTATTACATTTCTCATCATAAGTTTCATTTTTTAATTTATAATCCTCTTTATATATTGTTTAATATCAGCTTAATTTGATTTTAGAGGGTTGTTTGATTTTTATTTTTTGTGAACTTGATTAACTATGAATTTTAAAATTTTCAGACAAATCTTTTAAAAACTAAATTTTTCCCCCATTCGTGAATAAGGCCCCAAAATACTTAAAGCGAGATTGATCGGTGGATAGGTGCGGCATCTGCAGTGAAGCGGGTGCTGTACCGGTCTGTCGTAGTGAAAAGAGAGCCGAGTTCAAAGGTGAAGCTCTTGATTTACAAGAGGCCGATCTACATTCCTACCCTCATCTATTGTCATGAGCTTTGGGTTGTGACTGAAAGAACGAGATCGTGGATACAAGCGGCCGAAATGAGTTTTCTCCGCTGGGTGTCTGGGCTCTCCCTAGAAATAGGGTGAGAAGCTCGGTCATGTGGGAGAGATTCAGAGTAGAGCCGCTGCTTCTCCACGTCAAGAGGAGCCAGCTGAGGTGTCTCAGTCATCTGGTTTGGATGCCTCCTGGACACCTCCCTGGTGAGGTGTTCTGGACACGTCACACCGGGAGACCCAGAGGAAGACCCAGGACATGCAGGAGGTACTATGTTTCTCAGCTGGCCTGGGAACGCCTTGGGATTCCCTCAGAGGAGCTGGCCCAAGTGGCTGGGGAGAGGGAAATCTGGGCTTCCCTACTTAGGCCTCTACCCTTGTTACCTGAACCCGGATAAGCTGAAGAAAATGGATGGATGGATGGATGGATCTTTTCAGAACTTCATGTTTTAACAGTTCTAGTATTTAATGATGATATAATTCATTTATCAAATTAACAACAGACTCATATCTTAACAGATTCACATCAGCTTCTCTTTAGTATTTATTGATCCAGATTTGGAATGAATGGGAAGTTCTTTTGGATCCAGTTCACACCAGTTCAACAGTCATTGGTACATTGAAATGAAGTGTATGTTCACTAAACATGTTTTTTTTGTCAGTAGATATTTAGCCATATTTTAGATTTTTAATGCCAGTCTAGATGGTAAGCAGCTCGGGCATGTATGATGCCACATTGAAGCACCTGAGTTTGATGAAAGTTAGAGATACAGGTAAAGGATATCTAGTGATGTCCTGTGAGGTGATCATTTTGGCCCAATGGCAGCAGCAGGGGAATTCTTGTATATTATTTTTTGCACACTTCTTTCTACACTGTACCTTGTCCTGAGCCTGATTCTGCCAGAGTTTTCTTCCTTTTAAAAGAAAGTTTTTCCTTTCCATTGTTGCCATTATGCTTGCTCAGGATGAGAGACTACAACGAAGTGAAGATTCAATGAGTCTGCTGGCTTCCTTAGATAGAAAACTTGGCTTTTCTATGTATGTGAATGTTCCTGTGAAGTGCCCTGAAACTATTTTGTTGTGATAGTGCTATATAAATAAACTGAATTGAATTGAATACCCACCTTGTCAAAAGCCCTCATAAAGGGCATGCTTGATATTATTTGAACCAATTTTTCAGTATTTTTTTATTATCAAGACAGTCTTTCAGCCTATATACATGTCAGAGAACTCAGTAAAAACTACTAAGATGGGTAGGAGACGCCTGCGTCAAAATGGAAACAGGTTTGAGACAAGTTTGTGAAACCCGTGGTAATTCTAACTATATTGAGAGACAATTTGTTGCACACATTTTTTGAGTATGTTTAAAATTCAAGTGAAATACTGTGCACCTTTGCAACACATGAAGGAAATTGAAAACCCCTAAACGTTTTGAGACCTGACCATAAATGCGGCAGCCCAACACGATCTTGGCTTTACAAACCCAAGTTTCAAAGATTAGTGAACAAAGAAAGAACTATTTATTTGGCCCCTGTCATGCATGAGGAGTAGGTACCAAGAAGAAACTCTCTACTGACATGACCTTTGACCCTGAGGTCCTTTCTCAGAACCACCCTGAACTGGGATCTTTTTAAAATGAGTATGTCTGTCTCTGCACTTTCACTGTCCTGAACACTTTATCAGCTACAGACTAATAAACTCTTACACCTTTCTTTAAATCGCAGAAAAATAAACAATATTCATTGGAAGAAGTTAGTCTTGTTTTATTAAGACATGTTTGAAACATGAATCAAATTGATTTTTGTTTACAGCTATAAGGAAATCATAGAAATGTTCAAATACTGCATGTTTGAAACTATTTTTGTGTGACTTGTGCTAAGATTTAGGAAATTTAGGGGCAGCAGTGGCTGAGAAGTTAGAGCAGTCATTCTCCAATAGGAGAGTTGAGGGTTCGACCAACAGTCACATGTTTATGTGTCCCTGGGCAAGACACTGAACCCCTCACTGCAACTGATGTGTCTCTCATTGGTGTATGAATGTGGTCTAAAGCATTAATTAGTCTCTACAGATTCAGATTGTCTTTGTAGAGATGGAGTAGAGTGCTGTATGAATGTGTGTGTAGTAGAGTGCTGTAGGAATGTGTGCGTATAGTAGAGTGCGGTATGAAGGTGTGTGCAGTAGAGTGCAGTATGAAGGTGTGTGCAGTAGAGTGCGATATGAAGATGTGTGCAGTAGAGTGTGGTATGAAGGTGTGTGTAATAGTGTGGTATGAAGGTGTGTGTCGTAGAGTGCTGTATGTATAACGATTCATAATGGGGACCCGGAAATTCAACCACAACACAGAAGTGAACGAAAAAGTTTTATTAACTACTTGTCAAAAAAAGGGGGGGTGGGCAGAAGGAGGACGTCAGCTGAAACTCTGCAGAGTTTAATCACGATTGGTGATGCAGAGACTGAAATGACATCAGGGGGAGGGGGGTTGGAGGAATGGAGGCGCTGCTGAGTCACGTGATACGTGAGTGAGACCTGGGAGGTCCGACAAGGCTCCTCTTCAACTATAGTGGAGCTTGGTTCTAAAAGATGACAGCTCCAAGAGTCCGGAATCTAAGATCATGGTGAAGATACAGGCGTGGGTCATTCACAGAGAGGCAGAGAGGCAGTACTTATCCGTGGGGTTCGGCGAGAGTCGGTGGTCAGTAGGCAGAGCGAGAGTTGAGGTCCAGATATCCGATGGGCAGAAATCATTCGTTGTGGGCAAGGCAAAGGCGAGGAATCCGTGATCATTAAGAGTGTCGAAAAACAGAGAGGTCAGGAACAGAACGCTGGACTTCTTCAGGCGCAAGGCAGTCAGACAATCTGACAAGGAGGCAGAGTCTGGGGCGCTCTTTAAAAAGAGCAGCGGACAGGTGCACTTAGTGAAGCTGATGAGGAGAGGAGGCAGGGCAACCAAAAAAAACCACAGCATGACTTGACATGAATTTGAACCATTACAATGTCCCCTCCTCATGGTCCAGCTCCTGATGGACCACCAGGTTGATCGGGATGAGCACGATGAAAGTCCTTGATGAGAGTCTTATCCAGGATATATTGAGCAGGTACCCATGAGCGCTCCTCTGGTCCATATCCCTCTCAGTCAACAAGGTAGTACGTCCCCTGGCCCCATCGTCTGGACCAAAGGAGACATCGTACAGTGTAGGCGGGGCCTCCCTGGATGAACCGAGCAGGTGGAGGGGGTCCGGAGGGGGGCGAGAGTCGGGACGTAGCAAGTGGCTTGACTCGGGACACATGAAAGGTGGGGCAGACTCTAAGGGTCCAGGGAAGGCTCAGGCGAACTGCCACAGGGTTGATTACCTTAGATATTGGGAAGGGTCCAATGAAGCGAGGGGCCAGTTTGCGACTCTCGACACGGAGTGGGAGGTCTCTGGTAGACAGCCACACCCTCTGTCCTTGCTGGTACGTGGGTGCAGGAGTATGCCGCCGGTTAGCAGACCTGGAATACACAGAGGAGGTTCTTTGTAGAGCTCTGCGTGCTCATCGCCATACCTGTTGGCAACTTTGGGCAGCAGCATAGGCAGAAGGGACCCTTGCTGTCCCTTCCTGACAGGAGAACATTGGTGGCTGGAAACCATAGACCGTGTAGAACAGAGTAAAACCGGTGGCACTTGAGGGGAGAGAGTTGAGGTAGTACTCTACCCAGGGAAGGTTCTGTGACCACTTAGCAGGGTCTTGTTCACACAGTAAACGGAGCTTGGTCTCCACCTCTTGGTTGATCCGTTCAGTCTGTCCATCGGTTTGTGGGTGAAAACCTGAGGACATACTTACTTTGATACCCAGTAGACTGCAGAACTCCCTCCAGAATTGTGACACAAACTGGGGACCTCGATCTGACACAATGTCTACTGGGAGGCCATGGAGGCGGAACACCTCCCGGGAGAGAATTTCTCCCAGTTCCTTAGATGATGGGAGCTTGACAAGGGGGACTAGGTGAGTCATTTTAGAGAAGCGGTCGATGATAGTGAGAATAACAGAAAAGTTCTTGGAGAGGGGCAAACCTGTAATGAAGTCCATAGATATTTGAGACCAAGGAGGGTGAGGAATGGAAAGGGGTTGTAGGAATCCAGCAGGTGGTCGGTGCGAGGACTTGGCTTGACTACAGGCCCGACAGGCTGAAACAAACTCCTTAACGTCAGAATGCATGGTCTTCCACCAGAAATGGTCTTGAACCACCGACAAGGTCTTGGTAATACCTGGGTGACGGAAAAGTCGAGAACTATGGCAAAATGAAAGTACCGCTGTAATTAGATTGGCTGGGACAAAAAGACGATCCTTAGGACAGTCACTGGGCACTGACTGTTGCCGATGGGCCTCCTTGACCCTTCCTTCTAGATCCAGTCGAGTGACTGCCAATCGTACAGACTTGGGAAGAATGTAGTCCATCTCCTCAGTTCGTCCCTCCTCTAGGGTCTCATGGATTCGGGAGAGGACATCAGGTTTGATATTCTTGGAGCCGGGTCTGTAAGACAAGGTAAAATTGAAACGGCTAAAAAATAGAGCCCACCTGGCCTGCCTTGGGTTGAGCCTCTTGGCTGATTTCAGGTACTGAAGATTTTTGTGGTCAGTCCACACAACAA